CGAGGCCCAGACGGAAGGCAGCTGGAGGCCGAGGAGGGGAGCGGGGCTGCCACCCGCCCTGGCGACGGCGGAAGCTCGGCCTCGACCGACGGGGTCAGGCTCGCTCCCCGCCCACGTGACCTCACGTAACCGAACTGCCTCCTAAACACCCCGGCTCCAAACACAGCCCCATGGGGTGTAGTCCTTCAACATGCGGATCTGGGGCGCCTCACACTTCAGTCTATAGCAGTAAGCGCGGTACCAGGAAATACAGCGAAAATATTTGTGCATTTTAGTTAAGCAAGTATTTTAAATACTTTAAATTGAGAAACCTATATTTGAAGGTCGCTCATCGTATTTGGTAACGCATCAGACTTTTAAGTCCCTGCCTACTGAGGGCAAGGAGATGAGTGTTGCACGGTGGCTTAATTAACTTTTTGCGCGGTAGGGACAAGTAATTTTTACATGTGTGCATATCAGTGCACTGATTTTAGATTTCTTTGGAGAAAGCTCAGCTAGGGTGGAGCTGGAGAGGAGTGGACAGGCCCTAACAGATGCATTGGCTGTTGCTAATAACAGATTCCCTGAGTGTGCTGGAGCCCAGGCAGGTGCTCTGTGAGTGGAGTACAGGAACGCTGGTGTTGGAGTTAGCACTGCCGTTGTAGGGCTGTAGATTTTATTTGCTGTTTGTTTGTTTGAACAGTATTTACTCTGCACTAGTTTGGACATGAATCAAAGCAGCGATGGATGTGCAAAAAAGGTTAGCAGTGTGAATCTTGACAAACTTATAAATGACTTCGCACAGATAGAAAAGGTACGTAATGATACCAAACAGTTGTACATGGAAACGTGGAACAGATTTTGTCAATGGTGGGAGATGGGAAGGAAAAAAAAAAAGTACAGCCCCAAAATGAGCAGGGTGAAGGCAATGGAAATGTACTTTGCTAAGCCCTTTCTCTTTCTGGGGCAAGGGAATAAATAATTGATATACTTTTGCTAAAGTTAGAGGGAAAATACACGCTTAAATGCCCAAGGTGTCCATAAACTCAGGAATGATTTAGTAAGAATTGAAATAGACTCAGTCCTCAGTCTCTTACCATTATGACTAACTCTAAATTTTTTTTAGTCTTTCCTATTCTGTTTCCTTTCTCTTTTGCCTAAAAGCGGACTCATTGGAAGTCCTGCTTCCCCAACTCTGTACAAGTTACATGGTAGACCAAATTCACAAACATATATTGAGGTTTTTTCCCTCTTCTGCCTGGGAGAGGAGTAGGAATAGTTGTTGAGAAAACATAGATGGACAGATTAAAGATGTGGGCAGTGGGTTTGTGAAGCAGAGGTGGAGGGGAAATACTACCTAACTCTATTTTCTCTCCTTTTCTTATCATGCTTCTCTATTCTTTTCACCCAGACAATGTAGTCTTGTCATAATAAAAGAATTTTCATTACGATGGGTACTTTGAGGTACCATTATGAGCCTTTTTAAAACAATGAACTTGGGTTTTTTTACCCAAGTGATTATTACCGAGGAGAGAGAGATTTAGCACTGTTGATGGGAAAGGAATTGGTGCAAAGTTTTATGGAGCTTATTCTGTAATTATCATATCTTAAATATTTTAAATAAGAAATATTGTTCACTTTTTGATAATGGTATTGTGCCTGTATTTTTAAGAGTCTTGTCTCTTAGAGCTACATATAGATGGTGATATTTATGGATGAAATAATATAACATCAGGGAGTTGCTTTGAGATAAATTCAGAAGTGGTGACAGTAGAGAAGTGGGTATAGATGACCCGAGACTGGTCACGGATTGATCATCTCTGAAGTTGTTCAGTGGGTACATGGCGCCTGTTATACTATTCACAAAGATACCAAAGAGACATCTGCAAGAATGTCTATTTATTGCCTGTAAGAGCAAGTAAGTGGGAACAACACAAGTATTCCTCAGTAGGGAACTAACTAAACAAAAGGCAGACCACGCATCGATGAAACGCAATGCAGCTGGTAGGAAGAGTGAAGCGACCTGTGTGTGCTTCTGTGACATCATCTCCAAGATAGCAGCACTGAGTGCAGCATCCAAAGAACATAGCAGGTGTAATATGATTCTTCCCTACAGTTGTATGACCATAAAAGTTTTGGAAACATATGTGAGGAATTGTTAACCATGGGACTGAGGGTTGAACATTTGGGAGGAAGGGAGTTCGAGCTATGTCAGACTTAATTATTAGACTTTCAGGTATTAAGTGGTTTATATTTTCATTAGTCTTTTTATGCTTAGGTAAGAAAATCAAACTAACAGCATCAATTTGGTTATGATATATATTGTTTGTTTTTTCTACAGAAAGTAATAGAAACCGCTGGAAAGAACAGTATATTGGATATGCAGTTGGAGAAAACCAACTGTTTATTAAAAGGAATGCAAACAAAGGAGGCCTCCCTTAAAGCAGGTTAGTCCTTTGCTGCCTGAGGAAATACTGATGCTAACGAGGGTGAACAACAGTGATTAATAATGCCCCATACATCTGTAAAATATTTTATATTTACACAGCACTTTCTAGACTCAGTTTATCCTTAATATAGCCCTGAAAGACGGCTAGGACTGGTATTATTACTCCACCTCAGTAATGAAGAAAAATGAGATAAAAGAAGTTAAATCTGTCTGAGGCTGCTCAGCTAAGAAATGGCAGATCCAAGACTCTATCCAGGCCTTCAAAACTATGGAAAAAAATACAGTTGAACTCCTGCCTCGTAATAACTCCAAAAGAAACTTCAGATGCGTCCAAAATTTTAGTGCTAAAAAGGGCTATCCCAGTCTGACACACTCCCTGTCTTCTGAGACACCCGTGCCAGGTGTTGCTCCGCTCCCTTGCCACCCTCTCAGCTGTGCCCACACTTAGTCTGTGCCTGATGGGAAACAGCTCCCTGGAGGAGGGCTGGGCACTGAGGAGGGGGTGTCTCTGAGGCTCTCACTTTCAGGGAGGGAGACTGGCTAGTTTGGGAGCAGAATTTCAGAGATGGTCACTTTTCACTATACTTGTGTCTCATGTGTACTTTATATTTGAAAAGAATAATTAAATACTTTTTAAACATCCAATTCTACTTATTTGAAATCTAATGGCCTTTTAGCTGGTTAATACACAGCGGAAGTGAACGAACAAGGAAGAATGACAACTTCTAGAAGAGTCAAGTGTGTACTAATTCACTTAGAGGAGAGCAAACCACACATGCTATTGGATATGCTCAACAATAAAGAATGAGATTGTGATATTTTATGTTCTACATTTGACACCAGATAAATTTATTTGCCATTTCAAGATGGTAAATAATATTAGTATTGAGGACCAAGTACTGTAAAAATCATTTTCATGCAGAATTGTATTTAACATTTCCAACTGCTTTATGAAATAGGTGTTAATACACAAATTGCTGGTTAATAGTAGAGCCTACATTTGAGCTCAAAATAATCATTGATTAACTAAATTATATAGTGCAAGAAGTAGTTTAATATCATGGACTCTAGTTTTTAAGAATTGAATACGAAGTAGTATTATTAAAATTACATTATAAAGTCCAATAGAAATGGTAATTGGATAAATGTTTGCAAAGGAAATTAAAAGCCATTATTCTAAAATAATGAATGGTGTTTTACCTTAGGAACAATTCCTTATTGAGCCAGTTTCCTTTGTAAAAAACAGTAATAATAATGTGTTGGGAGAGCCACCTTGTGTTCACATTGTGAAATGCACACTTTTTAAACATTTAGTTTACTTGCAGTTTCAGGGCTGATCACTGAGGTACCATAATTCATGAATTACTGGATTCATGCCTCTAAAAGACACAAGATGTGATAGCTGAGTCTTTGCCTCCTTAATGTTTTCACTGTAGCAGCTAACACGGTAGCATACATGAAGCAGGTATTGTCAAATGTAATTTGACCATCACTCTGTTACTGGGAAATGGCAAGAAAAGAAAAAAATGGAGGATGTTGGGAACTTGTCTGGTTGGATGGTGGGAATGACAGAGGGGGTGCGGGGAGAAAACCACAATAGCAGAATCTTTTAACTTCATAAAGCTTTTAACTGCAAAATCCTTTCATTTCTGTTAGTGCACGTGGAGACCCAGTGCAGCCTCTCACTGAAAGCTTTGCACTCTCCCCCACAGTTCTGGTCTTTCCTTTAGCCGATAAATAAATAAATGACCACTGAACACCCGCGAAGCAGTCGCTGTGCTGGGTGCAAGGAGTACCAATGTGAAGAGGCATCCTCTGTACTTGAAAGAGTTTTCTATCTAGTGGGAGCAACCACAGATAACTAAAATGCAATGTGATAAATGACAAAAAGAGATACATACAAATTGTTGTGTGACATAAAGGAGAGAAATAATAACAACAGCAATAAGGATATTAAATGTTTGAGTGAACTTAGAAAGTGTGCTTTCTCATTGGGTTGTCAGAACAGTCTTAAATGTGAGAATAGCCTCGTCTGTGAGGTAGGATGGGTATCGCCTGTCCTTTTATTCTGCAGATGAAGACCATAGGCCCAAATATTAAGTAGCTTACCTGGGGTGTCATAGCTGGAAAGTGAAGAGGGGGAAACTCTCGTTCAGTTCCTCTGGCTCCAGGTCTCCTGGTTGCATCTGCATATCCTGCAGTCCCCGAGGAAGCGTTGGATATGCAGATTAAGAGCACAGAGTTGAAGTGAGAAAAACCCGTGTTCATGTCTATACCTCCCACTGACTGACTGTGGAATCTTTGGAGTAACCAGACCTCTACGGATGACTTCCTGCTTCTGGGAAATCAGGGTAATGATACCAACATCTCAGTATCATTTTGAAGACTAACTGGGTTGATGTTTATAATGCACTTAGTGCAATGCCTGGCAGAGTAAACATTCAATAAATGGGTCTATCATTATTCCTAGGCAACTTTTCACTATTCGATACAAATGATATTTAGTATTTAACCATCGAAACAGATGCCCAGTGAGATATGGCAGCTAGTTCGTATGTCATACTAGTGCATGCCCGCTAAGGACTGGTCACAGGCCTGTAAAACAGAAAGAGAATGAGGCTCAGTGTTTGTTGATTATCAGGCCAAGTGCCAAGGGTGAAATTGCCCTTCAACTGTAACATTATATTTCTTTTTAAAAAACATTAAGTTATTTTTATGAAGTTTCTATTGTATTTAGCTAATATAACTGTAAACTTACACTAGTGCAACCTGTGTTTGCTGACCTTTTAGCAGCGATGTGATAGCGGGAACTGTCAGAGTCTTGTCTGGCTCTTTTCTTGCTCTCCTTCCAGGACCTCCAACCTCCTCAAATCACTCTGAAGAATTTCTCCTAGGCTGGCCTTCTTGGTGTCAGTAAAGTAGTTAAAATCTCAGACTTTAGCGCTGGACGGCTGGGGCTCACATTCTAGCTCTACCACTTATTAGTTTTAAGTGTGACCTTGGGCAATTTACTAAACTTCAGTGTGTCAGTTTCCTCATATGTAAAATGAGGCAAGTACTAGGACCTACCTGACAGAGTTAAGAGGGTTAAATGATTTAATATCCACAAAGCACTTAGAACAGCAATATAATGTATATCATTTTCAGGCCAGAGCTGCTCCACTCTCCCCCTTGCTTCAGCTTACTGTGCTCCTGCCTGTCTGAGAACCAGTCACTCAACAGATATTCACGTAGTGCCTATTATGGACCATAACCACTCTAGGTATTAGGGAGAAATGGTAAACAAAGCAGAAAATAGTCCCTGCTCTCCTGGAACTTGTAGCCGAGTGGATGCTGAAAGTTACAGAAGTGCCTACCGCTGCTGGTGCTGGTGGTACCCAGGAGCACACTGGGAGCTTTGGGCATTCATCAGGTCATGGAGGCTTGTATTGGGGCTTCATCTCCCACTCTGGCAGGAGTCGTTTGCACAAAGTTCTGATGCCCTGTAGCTCAGCAAATTGAGTTCCTTTATTGCTGCTCCCTTGTCCTGGGACTCGGGCATAAAAATACTAAGAGGACAGGTCAGAGGACGGAGGAAGTAAAGCATTATCCCAGATGACACCTCACCAGCCCTGGCTCTCTGTCTGTGAACAAAACTTAATTTACCTCAGCTCTCTGTCCTTGGGATGTTCTTCCTTGGAAAACTAGCATGGATACACGCCTCATGGTTCCCCAAACAGTCCCCATGTGCCTCACTTCTAGGGCAGGCCTCGCTAAGCCACACGAGGGACTCCCTATCCCACTGGGTTCATTGTGCCTTAGAGAACTCTTTACCAGATCCTGAACTGCATTTGACTTAGAGGGTGATTAAAAAGTAGTCGTTATGTAATTTACTTTGAGATGCCTGGTGGTTTCATTAAGATCTGATCATTGTCAAATATTTTGTTTTGTTTTGTTTTATGTATTTCAACTTTGAGAGAATAATTCCAAAATGCAAGCAAATAACCTTCAAATAAATTTCCCTCTTATGTTTTAGAATGTGCTATTCTTCATGAGATGGTAAAAGGGCTACAGCAGACCATCGAATTCCAACATAATTTGAAAGGTAAGTTAGACAATAAAAAAATCTTTTGAAAATGATGTAGTTGAGCACCTTTAAAGAGAGTTTTTACATTGTTGACAATAAATTCCTTTTAATTTGGCCTTGTTAAGTTTATCAGCTAAGGGAAGGACTCCTCACTACCAAATGGTATCTTCCGCAATTATGAAGAAATGAGTGCCGTGCTGAATAGAACAGTTCAGTCCTGTTCTGGCAGGGACATCAGGCTTTTATAATCTGTCATAATCATTCTCTTTATTACTTTCAAAAGTGTCAAAGCATGTTTGCTCTCGGTAGTACTCCTGCCTTCAGTAACCCATGTTCAGTTTTGAAGGGTAGATGTTCACTAGTGGTTACACGATGGACACTACTTAGACTGCAGTGATTGTTTCCTGTTCAATTTCTCACCATGGACTAAGGCCACGTTTGTGTAAATGAAGCTGACACGTTCAGCTTACCTTGTTTTTGCTGGGCATCTAACCCAGTGGCCTGCTACTCACTGACCAAACGGACAAAGCCACCGAGTGTGTTGTCATGTTCTGATCTAGCTACAGTGCAGTGTTTATGGGTTTCCTCTGCTAGCCTGGAGATTACACTAAATTGCCTTCAGGATCCCTTTCAACAAAAACTACATCAAACAAGAATTTCTCATCTTAGTCTTCCGCTTTCCTCATAAGATACTCCACATATGTAGGTGAGACATAATAGTGATCTTACGTGCTATTTATCTGACCTGACATGTTGTTCCTTACTATGTTTATCATGTTCTAATTGAGATTTATCTTTCTTAAGAATTACTATTAGTTCTTATTTTCTCCCCCATGACTTCCCCTTAAAATATTTTCTCAGGTGTTAAAGAAACAAATACAGAAATTGTATTAGAAGACTTTTGTACTTATATTGTCAAAAAGCAACTGCCGTGTAGAAAGGGGCTGCTTCCATAGCAACAAACCACTAACAGCTGTTCTGGAGATTAGAAGGGCAATAGATGGGGGACCACCCATCTCCAGGGCCTTTTCTTTTGGCTCATTCCTGTGGGCTTCTGATCCCCACACATCCCACAGGCTGTCACTTTACTTGCTGCTAGCATTGTGCTCAGTTTTCCAGTGTGTTCCCTCCCTATCCCACACCCGGTTTGGCTTTCATTTTCCAAGTTCAATGCTGATGGATCAGAACAAATTTTCCCTTCTCTGTGACTAAATACAAAACTTAGCTGCATTTAAAAAATATGTGAATGTTCATAATTATTGACAGGCTTCTTATTTTAGGATTTAAATGGTATTTGACTTACCTGTTATCAGGATTTTGTTAAAACGTCTACCAGAAATTAAAGTTAAATATTTTTGAATTTCCAGAAAGTCAATTATAATTCAATAATGAATATATTATTTCTTTGTAAAAGGACACTGACCGGTAGTCAGGAATACCTCCTTTGTACCAATATGGAAGTACAAGTTTTTAAGCAGCTCTTCCTGAAAATGGACATTCATGGTTCCTCTCAGGAAGAAATGGTGATTCTTTGATTTCATTTTTCCAGTACTTCTACAGGCCTTGGTTTCGGCAAAGTTATAGAGGTGATCTGCCTTTCACTTCTTGCATTTCATCCATTTGATTGTCAGGATTTTATTGTTGATTTGCTTATTTAGGCTACAGAGTGGTTATAAATGGCTGCCTACCCAGAAACTATTTCCTCTTTCTTAGTAGAAACCTGATTTTTTTTCCTGACATTTATTCTTCATGCACCCAGCCACATACCTCAGGGAAGCTGACAACACCCCAGCTCTGAGCAAAAGCTTCTGAAATGAATCTCCCTCTCTCCCAAAAGATGGACTAAAGAAGGACCATATTCTTCTGATTGTTGAGAAGTCTGCATGTGATGCCTGAAATTGTTGCAGACTGTATGCTTCCCACCTGAGAATTAAGACAGCATTGAGCATAGCAGGAAGAAGAGCCTGAAAGGACACGGTTTCTTGGTAACATTATTGAGCTAGTGAGTCAGTTACCCTCTAGGCTGAAGAGTTGCCCCAGCTGTTGTAAGAGAAATTGTTCCTCCCTTTGTTCTCACCCATCAGTCTTTTCAGTGGGGCCTTATGGGTTGTATAAAAGATGATCCATTCAGATACAAAAAGAGAACATTGGAATTTCTGATTACATTCATTTTCATCTAAAAATTGAGGCAAGCCCTGGCCACTGTGGCTCAGTGGTTACTAGCATGCACTAATATATCACTTGTCCAGTATCAGGGTTGGGTGGATTCTACATTGACACAAAATGCTACTTAAATTTATAACTACTCGAGGCAAAGTAGCAAAAACCTTACACCTGAAGGAAGTAGCCATATGTGTTTGCGAACCTGATGTAGAGTTGGTAGGATGATTTTTAAAAAAAGCAGTTCTAACAATAATCATATGTTAATTGTACTACAGATGAAAGCCAACATAGAGCCAACCAAAGTATAATATGAAGCATTAAGGAGGGCCTCCATTTCTTCAGCAGATGGCTTTATTCACAGATAAGCCATGTGGTTCTGTTTAGCCTATCTACAAGCATGCCAAAGCCAGTAATACGCAAGTACTACAACAGTTAGATGGGCTGACCAATTTTCCTGGAAGAGGGAAGACTCATCATATTAAAATGTCCATTTTCCTGACGTTAATAAATACATTTAGTGCAATTTTAATTAAAATACTAAGTTTGGGGTGGGGGAGAAGATTGTATACAATAATCTTAAAGTTCATTTGACAAGAGAAACAAACAAGAAAAACAAGAATAAACAAGAAAACTATGAAAAATAAGAATGAGGCAGGGGGACTTTCATTACCAGATAACGTTCTCTGGAGCCGTTAGAATGAAATCGATATGGTATTGGCATAGAAACTGAAAAATGTATCCAGGGAAGAACAGAGAAGTGGATTCTAGAAAAGGCCCCAAATTTGTTAATGTAATATATGGCTCAAGAAATATTTCTATTTACTGGAAAAAAGAATGACATTTTAACATACGTACTCACACAACTAGCTTTCCGTCTGGAAGAAAAGAAAGTTGGGCTCTTTCCCACCACATCAAAAATAAATTCCAGATGGGTAAAAGATGTTAGTGTGAAAAAGAATACAAACTTGAAAGAAAATGTAGGTCACAACATGTGCGACCTAGTGCTATGGGGGGTCTTCTTAACCAACCCGGGAACCTCAGATGCTATATAAGGAAAAAGCGGAAGTAAAAGACTTTCTCACCAACAGGAGCACAGCAGCAACAACAGTGGAAAGAACTTGGCATGGCATGTTCTCACACAAAAGTCAAAACACAACTTATTTGAAAACATGTTTTCAAATACCAAAGTAGTTTCCTATCTACAGTATACAAAGAGCTCTACAAATTGACCAGCAGAAATAAATGAAAAATTTTTAATGTGCGAAAGATATGTCTAAAACTATGAGGATGTGTATGTGTGTATGCAGTGGAGGACCCAGAGGTCAAGAGCACAGAGAAAAACACAGAAGGATACACAGTTATACCAGGGGTGTGGAGGCAGAGGGAGAAAGGGGGCGCGGAGAGGCAGAGGGAGAAAGGGGGTGCGGAGAGGCAGAGGGAGAAAGGGGGCGCGGAGAGGCAGAGGAAGAAGGCAGAAAGAAAACGAGAGAGAAGGGAAGACTCCTAAAAGTATCTCAGCACGTGTGCTATGATCCTATTTATGTAAAATTATAAAAGTGTATGCATAGAAAAGTTGCAGACTTGGAGGAATGTCCATTTTTAAGAAATAAGTTCTTTGCAAAGTAATTGGTATAGTACAGTTTTATATTGGTAAAAACAAAACCAGTAGAAATGTGTGACATGTTTATATGTAATTATATAAGCTGGGGGGAAAGTAGGGCAGGAATGCAGACCAGGGTGTAAACAGTGACAACCTCGGTGAGGTGAGCGGGTAGGGGGGAGATGATTAGCTCCCTTTAACCACTTTTCTTAGTATCACTCTCTCCTGCATCTCTGGACACTTCTCAGCCTCCTTATAGGATATTCTTTCTTTGTCCACCCCTAAATGTTTCCTAGCCCCCCCGAAACGTTCTCCTGGCTATCTCAAGCATCTTAAATTCAGCATGGTAAAGATTCAGATGCATTATTTCACTCCTAAAAATCTTCCCCTTTTAATTTTTCTCAAACTGTTGAATATTTTTCAGTTACCCAAACCAGAAACCTAAAAAGCAGAGTTTCCCCTTTCCCTTTTGCCTCTGCTGTCCAATCAGCCACTGAGGCTCCTGGTAACCCCAGCACCTAAATCGGTACCTTCATTTTCCTTTGTCTCCTACTGCCGCTGACCTAACTTAGGCTCCTGTTATTCTTTCTTGTTCTGTCTTTCCTGACATCATTCCTCTAGGGTCAAAACCCTCCCATTCATCCTCTGGTTATAACTGATCATTTCACTTCACTGTTCAAAGTTCTCTGATGACTGTAAAATTCTTTGATGACTGGAAAATAAAATTTAAAGCCATTCACATAGAATATGCCCGCCTCCATTAGGATATGGCCTCAACCTATTTGGCACCCCTTCCTCACCATTTAGACTTCAATAGCACTGTACTTGAACTGTCACTTTCCCAAATGTGCTATGCTCACTCAAGCCCAGAGTCTTCTGTACAGTTTTCTACATCTGAAACGCTTTCTTCCCACAAGGGGAGAGCCTTACCATTGATGTCTCAGCTCATATGGCTCCTCCTCTGTATTTCCTTTCTTGACTTCAGGCCAACAGGCTTTTTGCCCACAGGTCCCCATGGTACTTCAGACACTGCCACTACAGGGCAGTCATGACATACCATGACTACTTAAACGTCTCTCTCACCACTAGGCTGTATGTTCTGTGAAGAACTATGTTTTTTGTTTCAACATTCCAGTCCCACAGACTGTGCATGTGTAGTAGACGCGGAGTAGATGCTGTTTGCAAGGGTTGAGTATGTACGTGAATGGAAACTTGAAATGTCAGACATCCCCATATTAACTGGAAAGTGCTGTATATTAGGATGCTCTTTGATGATTTTTACACAGGTGAAAATGAACAACTGAAAAGAAATGCTCATCTTATGGAAGAAAAGTTAAAATCCCATGAACAGGTGAGTTTTTGCATCTTTATATCAATCAAATCCCTGTAGAGCATTTGTCTTCTCAAGTTAGGAAAAAAGTGGTTGTTTTCATTAGTAAAGACGGCCAAAATTTATAAAGATATGTGTGTGCATGTGTTTGCCAGAATTTTTAATAAGGATTTTTAAAGAAATAGAAATGTTGAATCCCCTGGTCTTCTTGCAGACTGTAATGCTCTAATATATCACTTGTACTTTTTCTTTCTACCAAAAAGAAACAGCTATTTTGCTACATATTTTTAAATCGCATTAACAGAGTTTTTACTCTTGAGTATACTTTAGTAGCACTTTTAAACTTTTTACTGTAAGGTAAATGAGCCTTTAATCTTTATGATTTGAGCAATATATTAATGTTACAGTACTATTGTACCGTGTAAATGAAGGGAGCAATTAATCCCCAGTTCATTCTCCCCCAGGGCCACCATACCCTGTTATTTTTCTTTTTTCCTATAAGAACAGCATAGCAGTAGCACCTGTAGAGCATATAACCCAGTGACTAGAACATAAAAGGTGCTCAGTAAACGTCAGCTCCCACCCCTCTGCCCTTTGGGAGGTTTATTGTGAATTACTCTCGTCTCCCGAGGGCCAGTATGTCGCACTCTGACCTAAGATTTCCAGGGTTCTCATTTGGATCTGTGTGAAACTTAGAACTTCACTTGGAAGGACCGTCTCTAAACTCAGTCTCGCTCCTCCCCTGAGGAGCCTCCGAAACCCTGCAGGCGCCCTGGGTGTCCCTCAGACGGGAGAACGGGCACCTGGCTGCACTCTTGGGGAACGCAGCCTCTTGTCAGCAGCTCAGAGACGGTTTCCGCGCCTCTGGGCTGCGGCCCGTTTGTTTTCCCTTCCCTTTAGCCCGTGTCCTTATTCTGCCCCGTGCTTTCCACATCGTGCCCTCAGAGCCCAGCAGTAGGTGGTGCAGTCAGAAGGCATTTGGCGGGGTGGGGGGTGGGGGGGATATTTGCCTCTTTCCTCTTCCAAAATGCTGAGCCCTGGGATACTGCTTTGTCTAGGATTCTGTAGGGATTTTCAGAGGGGTGGAAGTTAATGAGAAAGTGCCACAACCCAGGAGTCTCAACTTCTGAATTAGCTGCTGTCCAAAGCAAACTAAAGATGACCTCAATCCAATGAGAATTCTCTAGTACAAAACCTCCAGGCTCTGCCCAGAAACAAACTCAGGAGGTACTTAATAGCCATTTTATGGGACTGGGAAAGGTTTTGCAACTTGCAGACAGAGAATCCTTAAGTTTTATAAAGACAAAAATACAACCAGAGGCTATTCCTTGGCATTTAAGGTTCCCAGAAGGCAACCAAGAATAACTTGTTGGGACTTGGTCCCCTCAGAAAGAGGAAGGGCTGGTCCAGGCTGGAGTGGGGGACAAGAATCAGTGTGATAGAGCCCCAGCCCAACCATTAGGATTAGGACACCCTCGGCTTGGAGGTGGGAGGGAAAATCCCATGTCTTACGAATTCACAGAAGCATCCACTGTAGTGGGGGCGACTTCAGGTGGCAAAGCCGATGGGGAATGAAGAGAGATGTGGATTTGTCTTGTTTGTCAGAGCAGGAACTGCTTAGTGCACTCTTAGTGCACTCAGAGTCAGTAGTTTATAAAAGCCACTCAGTAGTTGCCCATCTAGGAATCTAGATAAGTGCATATGAAGAATGGCAATTCATGAGATTCACCCAAAATTCACCTACAAAGCTTTAATCAAAGTTAGTGGTTGGGTAGATTTGGACATTCCTGGCAGGGAAAGTATCTCAGTATGAATCTGGACTGCATCCCCGTGAACTTACGTAGCCTGGACAGATGTACCTCTATGTTTAATTATAGGCATCTAAGCCAGGGAGCTGGATTTTTTACCTCTTCAATATCACTGAATATCTATTAAAAACTGTGAACCCTCTCTGAGAAAAACATTCAACAGTACATACGCACACATATGTGTATAATTTTACGTACAATTGCAGGGAGTTAATGGATCCTCGAAAACCCATTTACTGGGTCTAAGCTAAGAACTTCTGACTTAATTTTCATTGGCACTGTCATTCACTTAACAAATATGTATCAGGAGGGATACTCTAGGAGTTGGGAATGCAGCAGTGATTAGAAACAAAGTCCCTGCCTCTCAGTGTTTAGAAGCTTTTCCTGACCACTTGCCTTCGCTGTTGTCTCTTTCTTAGGGTCCTACTTCACTATTTCTCCCGCTTTCCTTTCCTTCTGCCTGCATCTTAGGCCTGTGAGTGATTTCTTTCTGTAGGGACATACCACTGGGAAAATGGTGAATTTTATCTTTGGAGACTTTCTTTTCCGTGGCCTTCCCGAAGCCCCTCTCCATGTTAGCATAACATCACCTCTATGCTTCAACAGCCTAAAAGCAAATCTCAGGCACCAGCAGAGCACTTCTCAAACCCCAAATCCATCCCTTTCTAGCCTCTGCCTCATGGGTAATGCTTACTCTCCTTCCAGGAATCAGGGATGTATGTACAATTTTCAGAAACAGAAGTTCAGCCACATTCAGAGGGATTTGTCTTACTTTGGGGTTAGCTGACTGGCTATTGAACGGTGCCTACTGTTGACTCTGAAGTGTAGCTTTGGCTTTTATTGGACCTACTTTAATGCCATCCTGGCATTTATTACACAATGAAACAAAATGTTTTAAGAGTCTATAATATGCTCGACACTCAAGATTAGTATTCAGAAAGCAAAAATAAAAAGACATTGTCTCTAGATGGTCTCTGTCTCCTGAGACCAGAAACTGATCCTTCTCAAAGCTGATTATTCAGTGAACAATATCTTTCTAGATATGATTACATATCAAAAATTAATATAAAATTTGAAATTTTCACCTTTCTAATCAAAAGTAGTGCACACATATTTAAATTGAAGAATGAATATATATATTTTAATCTTCAGGAATATAAGAATAATGTTGACAAACTTATGAGTGAAATGAAAATCAAAGAGGAAGGACATAAGGCAGAAATAAAGAAACTTTATCAGGATATGCAGAAAAAAAGTAAGTTTTTAATTTACTGAGTTCTAAGATATAAAACAATTCAGATGCATATGTAAACTTTTTTCAGTAACAACCAGTATTCTTGAGTGAACACTGCCTTGAGATATTTTAATTTAGATTTTATACCTAAATTATGTGATATAAATTACATGTCTAAATTGTATTCATGATGTTTGCACCTAATATTTAATATGAAACAATGTCCTTATAAAATTGATATAAAAGGTATAATTCATAACTTGGATATTTATATGCTCATGTATTGAATATCATTTCACTAATGGAATTTTCTTCAGTAAAGCAGATCTTATGAACCTGTGTTGCGCATTAACTACTTTATAAGGGTATTAAAAATCTTTTTTAATGAGACTATATTTGTGCACATCATATGCAAAAATCAACTTGAAATGGACGACTGGTCTAAATGTAAGCCTACATCTATAAAACTGCAAAAAAAGTGCATAGAAGATAATCTTTGCAACCTTGAGTTAGGCACAACTTCTTGGAAAGAAACAAAAGGTAAAAATAGCCCAGCCGGCGTGGCTCAGTGGTTGAGCATCGACCTATGATCCAGGAGATCGAGGTTTGACTCTCAGTCAGGGCACATGCCCAGTTTGGGGCTCGATCCCCAGTGGAATATGTGCAGGAGGCAGCTGACCATTGATGTTCCTATCTATCTCTCTTCCTCTCCCTGAAATCAATAAAGATGTATTTTTTAAAAAATAAAAAAAACAAATAATATAGAATAAATTCTAAATTGAACTTCATCAGAATCATTAACTTCTGTCCAACATTGTTGGTAAGATGAGAAGACAGGCCAAAGACTGGAAGGGAACACTTGCAAATCCATATGTGCTTAAGGACTTGCACCCACAATATAAAAGAACCCTAACTCAGTAAGAAGGCAAACATCCCAACAAAAAAATGGGCAAACGTCTGAGCAGCACTTCCCCCGAGTTGTACAGATGGAAAATAAGCACATGAAAACATGTTCAACATAATTAGTAAGGAGGAAAATGCTAATTAAAACCACAGTGAGGTACCATTTTGAGCCATTAGAACACCTAAAATGTTAAGCAAAAAAAACTTTCAATATCAAGTACTGATGAGGATGTGGAGCAGCGGGAACTCTGATGCCTCAGTGGTGGGACTGTGACTTTACACAGCCGCTTAAGGAAGAGTCTGCAATTTCCTCTGGTCCACAAGGAGCAGATAGAAAACCCCTATGTGTCTGTAAGTTATTCCTGAGTAACCTGTGGATCAACGTAGAAATCCTAAAGTTTTGAACTGAATTACGTAGACTGTATCAAAACTGTGGGACACAGATAAAGCTGTGTTTATGGCTTAAATTCAAATGTTGGAAAATATTTAAATCAATTATCTAAATACCTATATCAAGAAGTAGGGGGAAATATCAAATCAAGCCTGAAGAAATTAGGAAGAGAGAAGTCAGGTATTGATGAAATTACAAACACAAAGAATCAGACCCCAAAATTTTTGAAAAACCTAATAATTCCCTTCAAGACTGATCAAGAAAAAAATGGACAAAGTACAATTAATCAGTATCAGAAATGTTAAAAGAGAAAATCACTTTAAACTTTAAAAAATGAAAGAACTCCTTAATTGCGTAAGCAAACATCTTTATGCCAATAATTTTGAAATTTTTGATGAATTGGACATTTTTGAAGATAAAAAGTAACACAAGAAGAAACAAAACCTGAATTGTTCTATCTCTATTAAAGAAACTACATCTCTAATAAATATTTTTCCCACAAAGAAAACTCCAGGCTCAGATGGCTTTCCTGGTGAAAGTCTATCAAACATTCCAGGAAAATTAAAGCGAGTCTTACACAAACTCTTTCAGGGCATGAACAAGCTAACGAGAGGAGACAGGTTCCCAGTTCATTTCACAAGGCCAGCATAATCTTGTTAATAAAAGCTTCCAGGGAAATTACGATAAAGAAAATCACACACCTGTCCTCTAACGTAGCTGAAGATGTTGTCATCACAACTTCCATGCATTACGTCTTCAACAGGGCTGCCTCCAGGCACATAACGAGACCAGGTGGAGGTCAGTGTCTCTAAGTTTGGGGTAGTTAAACACATTCTTCTAGCCTTTGCCTCATCCCAGGCTGAGATGCGGCCTTAGTACTAGACTGCTGCTAAATCCTGGATATGGGTAAGGTTGACTGGTGAAGATGGGAAAAGAGCTTCTAGACAAAGAGAAAATAAAAACTGAGACATACAGAAGGGGAGACATGGGGCACTCTAGGGACTCATAGTCCACTCCCTACCTTCTCTTTGCACTACACAGAAAGGTTCAGCAAGAGAAAGGCCAAAACTGGGTAAGTCTGGATTCTTTGTAACCTCTTGAAGTGTCTGGCTGAGGAAATGGGAAGTGATTGAAGGTTTCTGAGCCAGTGATGGCCATGCTTAGAGGTCTGCTTTAGGAAGACAGGGTAGAGAGTCTAGACACAGAGTCCAACTGAGGACAAGTAAGGCCTGAAACTAAGTAGGTAGGTATTGCATTAGTTGTGGATGGAGGCCCCTTACCCAGGGGGCTTCGTAGACTAATCAACTCTTTCCTTTCTCCCTAAATCCAAAGATTTCCTTGAGGCTCCCATCTTGGGTGCCATGGTGTTATTTATAGGGATAGGAAAACTGAGGGAACAGGACATTTGATGAAGCACAAAACCATGGTGTGAATATCAGAGAGGCCCAATTATGTGGAATAGAGGATGGCAGGTGCTTGGTATAGCTCTACAGTCACCCAGGAACTTGGGGTCCTCTGTGCCTAGGAACCCAGGCTTCGTGTCGCTCTTTAAGCACTAAGTCTCCTCTCTGTCCTCTAGGCCACTGACCTTTAGGAGTATAAACTAGGTTCCTTGTTGAGAAGCATTCAGCGGGTGGCTTTAGTGCCTTACGCATTTTGCAAGGGCTTGTCAAAAATATCTAAAGGCTACTATCACATAAACCATTTCTAAAGTACTATATGTTTTTATTAATAAAACTTACTTTCTTGTGGATCATTTAAAATGCTGATGAACTGCAAGATTTTTGGAGCGTTAAGACAAATTAATTTTTATTTTTGTTTTGTTCAGTTGAATTAAATGAAGAAAAGAGTAAAGAACTGATGGAGAACATGGGGGCGGAGATCTCAGGGTTAAATGCAAAGCTAAGAATTCAAGAGGCGGAAAAGCAAAGTGAAATCATCAAACTGCAGCTAGAGGTAAGTGTTTAGATGGGTAAATGTGAGGCTGCATCTTTCATCACAGTGCGAGGAATTCGGGAGTAGAAGCAACTATGCAAGGGCTTCTCACACATGTTCTCTGTCATGTGCAAGGCTCAGCGCCACGACCAGGGCTCAGCCCCCACAGCCGGCGCTCAGGCCCCCACAGCCGGCGCTCAGGCCCCCACAACCAGTGCTTAGGCCCCCACAACCAGTGTTCAGGCCTCCATAAGTAGTGCTCAGGCCCCCATAACCAGTGCTCAGGCCCTGACAACAGTCAGCTACACTGCCATTCATCACTTGGCCTGAAGGTGGGGCTCTTCAGTCATTCGAAAGGTCCTGGTTTCCAGAGAAGGTCTTGTTTCCTCTGAGGGGAGGTCAGATAACCCAGGGATTACCTGCATTTTACAGCCTGGGGGGCTCATCACTGTCCCGCGGGGGTGGGGGGGGGTTCTAATCCTTAACATTACTCCCTCCTTGGCCAAAATGGTGGAACCCTGGTGAACCAACTAGAAATTCCTCTTTCCTTGGAATAAAAAGAGACAAATGTCTCCCTAATGTGTAGAATATCATAGGGGCGGACAAACCAGACTTTAAAAATATATACAAAGGGACTTCAAATAGGGCCCCTCAAAGGCTGAGGTTCCAGTTCTTGGCTGGGAAGCCTTTTCAGTAGGTTGTTTAACCAGATGTCAAAATCTAAAGATATTGATATTTGACAATTTATTTGTCCTTTAAACTTTTTTCTAGATTTTACCAGTCTCCCTTTCCATCATATTTTATCACATTCCCCCAGCCTAACTCCCTCGTGACCTCATGTTGTCATAATTCACCATTACTGAAGATAGCACACTCTCATGTTCCAGCTAGTTCGGTATCCCTGGGTTCTTGGGGAGGTACAGTGGTGAAACGTGTATGATCACTGAGCAGAAGGGGGTGTGTTGAGGTTGGAGGCTCTTTGCGGCTGCTGCTGCCTTAGGGTCAAGTGTACCCACCACAGAAAGGCTGAGTGGGCAGCTGAGATGCAGAGGCCATTTCGGGATCTGCCACCTCTTCCATCCCCTTGGCTGGGCGGGCCTGTTATGTGCTATCTGGGCCCTGTTGGCTGGAGTCTGTTGTGTGGCTGACAGAACTCTTTCTGCTGTTTATTTTCATTGTCAGAATCCATTTCTCTCCCCAAACCAGAACACAGCCTCAGAGAGTTTCTTGGTATTCCACGGGGAGGCCACACTAAACTCACCTGAAGGGAAATACTATGATGGAAGATTTTGCAAAAGCATGACCTGTAATGGCCTAATGAGAACTTTTTACCCCATTCAGTGTAATGTCAAACCAGCAGAGGATTTGATGGATTATATTTATATTTATGGAGACAGTTGTTTCTAATTGTTTAACTAGAATGTTCTCAGTAACTTTGTTTTTAAATTTCATTCAGTTTGATGCCAGACTAGCAAGAGTTCAAACTAAATCAGAATCGTGTCTGGGTCCTGCTGCTTTGCCGCAGAGTATCTACAGGAGGGTATGTATGCTTTTCTTCCATGGCGGCTGCTTAAGAAAATAAAACATTTTAGTGTGTGTGTTTTTCATAAAAGTTGGCTAATATTTACTAGCAATATACTTAATTTTTCTTAAAATATATCACACAGAAAGGTACTAGATTTTGAATAATCTTTAAAGGTTACTTTCCATTTAAACTAGTAAATCTTAGTGGTTCATAAAAACCTAGAGAAGTAGCCTGGCCGGCGTGGCTCAGCGGTTGAGCATCAACCTAGGATCCAGGAGATGGAGGTTTGATTCCTGGTCAGGGCCCATGCCGGGTTGCGGGCTTGAGCCCCAGTCGGCAGCGTGCAGGAGGCAGCTGATCAATGACTCTCATCATTGATGATTCTATCTCTCTCTCGCCCTCTCCCTTCCTCTCTCTGAAATCAATAAAGATATATTTAAGAAAAAAACACAACATAGAGAAGTCCTCTGGCTCTGGATCGTCTAAAGAATCCCGTAATGTATTTTGAACTAACGTTGACTGACTTCTGAAGCTGCCTAGGCCCCGGGTAGCTTCTTTTTGTTCACCTTTTTTACGCTTTACAACTTCAGGCTCTAGAGGGAGAAGGGAACAAACTAAAACAAGTGGTGCCAATGTGTGTTTTGCATCCTTAGACCAGATTTACCCCATTAAGTCCCACAAAAATAAAATTATACTTTTCAAAGTAAGATGTTTTTTTAACACCACTTTTACTTAAACTAGAAGTTTAGTTTTTGTCGTTGCTTTGTTGTTTCTTGTACTTAATCTTATTTCTGGATTGTAATAAAATTTTTCTGCTTCATTTAGAAGCTTCAACATCTTCAAGAGGAAAAAAACAAGGAGATTGCAGCTCTCCGCAACACCATTCGCGAGTTAGAGCAACGCCTCTCTGTCGGCAAAGATCCTCACCTCAAACGCAGGCGGTTTTAAGTATAGCAGTGAATTCATTTGTTGCTATTTAATTTCTTTAAAAGCAGTTGAAAAATTCACTTCTGTTGTTAATATAACATGCTACCTAAATAATGACAATGAAAGAGACAGCTTTAAACTTTTTAAATTGAGTTTATTGAAATAAATTCACACTTTGGCCAACTGTGTCCTGAATTCTTGCTTAGTAGTATTAACCACAAAGGAGTTCAGGTTCCTAGGACTTAGTTTACCTATTGAACCATCATTGACTGTGGAAATACTGTTTAAGCAAGAGACAGACATTCTTTTATCTTTCCCCTTGTTTCTTTCTTTCATGACAGGTATTCTCAAGGTTTACCTGGCATTGTATCCAACTCCTTAAAGAAAACAACAGATAAAGGCTTCTTTCATAGGCGATAGTGAAAATCAAGATTTGAGTCTTAGATATAAAAAAGTATAAATGGATATTTAAAATGTAGTCCTAGCAAAATACTCATATGTGAAGTATTTCTGGATCTCAAAAGACAGCATTCACTCCTTCCTTTAAAGGTTTAATCTGTTAAAACTGTCAGGTTAAAAAGACACAGGTAATACCGTTTTGAGAATGAAAAGTGGAAATAGGTCTTTGTTGTCCTTCCTCCGCTCTAGATTGCTGGCTGTCCAACAGGAGCCCCTAGGTCATAGTTTCTGCTCCTGTTCTCATTAATGCAAGTAGAGCACTGGAGAGAGGACAAGAAAGAGTGTCGGCCGAGCACCGCAATCACCTTCCAGTTGCCCTTCAACAACAAAAATGGTTTGGGTTAAATTTTTCTTTGGCATAAATCTTAAAATTTGAAAGCCAGTATAGTAGGTTTCTTCATGTTTGCACAAAACCAATTCCTACTTTTTTTATCATAGGTAGCTTATAAAATGCTAAGTGAAATGGTATCTAGACTGACTTGGGAGTAGATCCTATTTTAAATGTTTAGTTGGAAGGTCATTGTCACATTTCTCCCTCAGTTTTTCAGCTTCAGCTGGTGCTGGCCTCTGTGGGCTCGGGCTGCTGACCCACCTGTCAGGCAGTGGGAGGCAAACGTCACTGTCAAGACTCAATGACATTCGCCTCTGCCCAGAGTCCCTGTCAGCTACATAAAGAGGGGAGGCTTTCTCTACACTGTCAGGTGATTGCAGACCCTGTGTGTTCAAATACCAGGTGGCGACAATGTCAGCATCAGCTGCTGGGGGCTAACTCTGAATCTTTGGGCAACTGTCAGAGTAACTGATTTATACACTTCCTCCCTCAGAGTTTCCTCTGTGAAGAAGAGGAGGGTAACGTTTCACCTGACACATCTCAGTGCACTGGGTGACCCTGTCCCTGGGGGCCCTTGAGCTTCTGGTGGTTCAGAGGGCCTGGAGAGGGGGCGGGCTCAGATTCGTTTGGTGCTTCTGGCTGCTGATTGTCTGCAAGCTGGCCGATCCCAGTGTGTTCGTGCCCGTGCCTGTGATAGTGATGTCGGTGATGATGGTGATGATGGTGATGATGGTTATGGTGATGGGGCTGTGGCCCCGGAGCCTCTGTTGTGCTTTTCTCAAAAGCCAAAGATGCATTCTTACAGAAGTCTTCATCTTCCAGGGTCTGAAACAAATGTATCAACCACTCATTAACACATTTGTAGACTTAGGGGGAATGCATGAAAAGTGATTTGTAGAGCCTGGCCTGTGTGGCTCAGTGGTTGAGCATCAACCCATGAACCAAGAGGTCACTAGTTTAATTCCTGGTCAGACCACATGCCCGAGTTGCAGGCTCGATCCTGAGTAGGCAGCCAATCAATGTTTGTCTCTCATTGATGTTTCTATCTCTCTAATCCTCTCCCTTCCTCTATCTCTAAAATAATCAATAAAAACATTTTTAAATGATCTGCAGAGCTAACATATGTGAAACCCCTACTAGTTCAATAGGATGGAACTGGCTTTGTGGTTCTAGTATAATACTAGTGAGAAAAGAACCTGATGTTAATCTTAACACCTAGACTTTTTTTAAAGCTTGATTCCCACCTATATCTAATGATAGAACATTTTGAAAATAGATAAAATAGAGTGATACAATTGAAGCTCAACAGTTCACCTCAGCTTTATACTAGTTAAGTCAGTAACAGAATTCAAATTTTCCTTATCAAGAGCATTTCCTAAATTTTCAAGAATTCTGAAGAACTTGAGAGATATATAAGGTTTAAAAAGAAAGTCAAACCACCGTATTTAAGTCTGCAGAAGCAAAACAAAATAAACTGGTTAAAAGAACTTAAATCAGTTGCAGTCGAGTCAACCAAATATCAAATCCTAAAATCAGTTGCCCTGCACGGAACCTTCCGCACCCGTGTCAACTGCAGGGCGCAGACAGCGTCCGGGCGCCGTGGAGAAGCCGGCAGCCGCGCTCCCCTGGCACCGCGGGCTCCCTGGGCCCGTCCGTTCCGGCCCTGCTGGGGTAAGCTCTGCTGTCCCTGTGCTCGTGGTCCACCACGCCCAGGCTGTTACACTAACGTGACTGACGTTGGCCGAGTTCTCGGACCACTTTCACTCTCCCAACATCACTTGGTGGCAACTGAAATATGTGATCTATGTTTTTTATTTTCTAAAACCCTTCCAGGTAAAAGTGGCAATGTGGGTCTTGAAAAGATGTTTTAAATATAGGCTACGTGGCAGGAAGTGTGCATAATTATAAAAATTACTGTTTATTTTTAGTACACCAACAGAAACACTAATTAGCTAATTGGTCATGAAACATTAACTTATTTCGATAACTCTTAAAAGACTTCCTCTTTCCTCCCAAGAAAATAATTGAGAAAAATACCGTGAAAGAGCAGTTTCCACAATTCTTTCTGCAGTAAGCAGTCTTAATGGCCTCTTCCACATACGGGAAATTCAGGATGGAGAACGGCAGGCCGAGGTGATGCACGAGGCGGCCGCATCTGGGAACAGAGCAAAGACCAGGTCATTGCAGTGTTTCCTGCACCGTGACCCTACCCGAGCACGGTTTGGAAGAGCGCCAAGTAGGTTCGGTGCTCGCAGAGCTAAGACCCGTCCATGCCGTCAGAAAATGTTCTTCAGCGGGTCTCAGACAAGCTCCCTGGCACTCAGACCAGCCCAGGCCATAGCAAGACTGCAGCGGGTCTAACACTAGCACTTAGAAAGGTACAGATACATCACTATAAATAATATCAAAACTCTGTACTGTAGCCGCTGTGACTTGGTCAAGTACAATTTTGTAATTGACCTAAAAATTCTACCAATGCGCCAACCACTGACATAAGTTAAGCTCTTTAAATCACATGAGCATTTGATAGCCACTAGGCAGCACCAAGTCCACCCAAGAAATCACAGCACAACAGAAAAATCCTAGAGTCTTGGATTTACTTAAAAAAAAATCTGACGCAACAAAAATTTCAGCACAATGAAAGACATAATACTGGACACTCTCAAAAAGGGTGGGGTGGAAATGTCCTCACCCACATTCTCCAGTGTGCACGATTTCCTGTGAATATCAACGCGTTACACTTTGCAGCTGACTAAATTAGAGCTTTGCTGTCCTAAAGGAATGACGTGTAATATTGAAAATAGAGAGATCAAGGAGGGCTTAGGCCCAGGCCGAGTCTGGCTCACCATCTCTGAAGAACCAAAAGAAAACCGCGCCCACTAGGGATGTGAATAATATCAAATAATAAAATGCAAATGTTTTGTTTGTTCAAGGAATGAAAAGCAGATTTGTGCTGGTTATTTGTGCTACATAATTAACAGTTCATAGTTCAAGAATTCAGGTTTGTAGTCTTTAAATTTTTAATTAGAAATAAGCAAGTGGTCTGCAAAGTGTGGTTTGTTTTGTTTTGTTTGAGTGTTTTCTTTTTTCTTTATTTCTAATGTTGGCACTGTTACTTTGCCCCACCCCGCCCCGCCCCTTCACCACACTGTTGCCTGTGGTTATGCAGACATGCCCTTTGGCTAATCCCTCCACCTTCTGTCAGCCAGCCCCCCAAAGTGTGGCTGTTCTGCAAAACCCTCAGGTTAGAACCGCATGATATACAAGTCGCTCCTCACTGTGTTTAACCAGAAGCCAGTTTACAGGGGGAAGTAGAGTCAGTCTTCTTTATTTCCCTACTGAAGTGCTGGATTATGTAAAAGTCATTTCAAAAATACCAGAACCAGATATTTTAATGGGCTCACTTTGAAACTAAGTACTTGGTAAAAAAATAAAAACAGGTGTCTTAACTTAAATCACTTATTATTAAATTAAATACAAAGCAGGTATCTGTTCATTTCTGGTGCTGTGTGTGTACACACCTGTCATATACGAGGAAGTCATCTTTATTTCCATTTAAGAGAGTCCAGACATCTGTTTGGTTTTCTTCTTGTTGATAAACAGGAATGTGCTCTGAAACCTTACTTTTAAGATCCATATATTTTGATCGAGAAGAGATTCCTTGATGATTGACAACAATATAGGAGATGTTAGAAAAACCTTCTTTCTCCAGTTTTACTCGCAGGTCTTCCAAACTAAAATATTTGGGAAAGATACAAAAAAAAAAAAAATGAACTCATTTTAATTTTATTGGTGACTTTTCTCTTTCTCCTCTGTTTTCTACAGGAAACACTTTACTACTTTTTACTTACACCCCTTCTTTATATTTTTGTAAGGGACTAAAACTTTCATCTTTTAAATTATTTATTGAGCACTTGTGCTCAGTTAAAACCTTATGGTAAATGCCTGCACAAACATGGCTCATTTCATGCTCAAGTTAATCGTATGATGTGTAAATTTTTAATCCATTTTACAGAGAATTCTACCCAGTAAATATTTGGCAAGTAACCCAACAAGTAGTTTTACGCATATTTGTTATACATGTTTAACAAACTCATATTAATATATATGTTTGTTAAATGACCCAAGGCCTCTGTGGCAAGTCTAATGCTCCTACTCCCGCAAAGCTTCATCTTTGCCACATTGAAATACGAAGGCATTTGCAGGAGTACATTTTAGAACATTTTTGTTACACAAATAATATATATTTAGTAAGACAGTATAAAACACAGGTCGACAAACAGAAGAGAAAATTTTCATAGTCCCAGGAAAACCGCTGTCAGCATGCTCTCTCCTCCTTACACGTTCTATGCAAAGATGTAGTTTTCCCAAAAAGGTGATTTCATAAATATGTCGTTTCTGTTTTTAGTGTGTGTGTGAGTGTGTGTGTGAGTGTGGATGCACGTGCTTCATAGCGTNAGTGTGTGTGTGAGTGTGTGTGTGAGTGTGTGTGTGAGTGTGTGTGTGTGGATGCACGTGCTTCATAGCGTTTCCCTGAAGCAGTCCTGCACCACAGCAAGGATCTCACCTGTGGGCCTGCATGATGCAGAAGGGTCAGCTGGCTTGAAGAAGGGCCACCACGGTCACTGAGCCGTAGGAGTCCAGCATTGGGTCTTGGTCCCCTATGCTCCAGGCCGGAGGCCGCTTACAAGTGGCGCTTTCCCCCTGGCTCTCCGTCCCTCCCCAGGGGAGGAGGCAGAGAGCCAGGGCCAGCCCCAGGCTTCTCCACATTGCCGGGCTTGTCCTGTAAAAGAGAAGAGCTTTCTGTCATCTTCATGGTGGCGTCAGTCAGGTCTTTCTGTGAACCCAGCATGATTCTCTCTCCTAGAAACATCTAGCCGTGGATTGTCTCCACGTTGCTGGGCTCATTATGTTGGGCCTCCACGCGCCAAATTTCCTTTATGGTGGGAAGATCAGCCAGAAGCGGGGTAGTAGTCAAAGCCCCCCTTCACTGTCCAGCTGAGCAAGGTGCTTCAGTCCGCACCCCAGGGAGATTCGCCCAAATGGAGCCAGAGGCTTCTCCAGGAGGCGGGACTTGGAAAAAGTTTGAGACTCTGGCCACCAAAACTAAGTAACCCTGCAAACACGTTTGATTTTTGAGCTACGCCAAGTTCTGATAGCTACCTGCCATCCTTGACCAACCTAAGAAAGGAAAGGGCAAGTCGGGTTTCTGCACAGGAATGAAAAGAGCCCAGNAACCCTGCAAACACGTTTGATTTTTGAGCTACGCCAAGTTCTGATAGCTACCTGCCATCCTTGACCAACCTAAGAAAGGAAAGGGCAAGTCGGGTTTCTGCACAGGAATGAAAAGAGCCGGCGTGGAAAGAGCCAGGGGGGGAGGAGGTGGCAGGGAGGGAGCCCGCCACCAGGAGGGCGGCTTGGGCGAGGCCCTCAGCCCCGCAGGTTCCAACCGTCTGTATTTGCAAGTCTCCCGGGGATAGCTCCCAGTAGTTGCTCTTGTTTTTAAAAGCCTAACGCTATGCGGACATCAAAGGGTCTGAATCTCTTCAGGTGTAAAACCAGCTGCCCAAACGTTACTCTGGACCAGTGGGAAAAACCTCAGCAGGGAGCAATCCTGCAGAGCCACCGCCCCCGGTTGCACTGAGTCTCACTGAAATCTCACTCAGCTCCTCTGTTGGCTGCAGACACTTTCCTGTGACCAGAGGGCACGTTCTGGGGTAAAATGACACCCATCTGAGTAGGAAGTTAAACACCTGAGCAGAAATATTCCCAGCAGCAGCGCTGGCCCTCCGCAGAGGGCGACAGATGGAGCAGGTGACTTCAGAGGTGCTAAGAAAGGAGCTGCTTCAGCCGAGCCGAGCAGAGGAAGGAAACCCTTACGGGCGATCGGGCTCGTTTTGATGTGAGACTAAGGAAAGATCAGCACAAAATGCCAGAGCTAGGAAGAGGGCGCCTTTTCAGACGCTGATGTGGGATAAAAAAGGAAAACCACTTTTTATTTGGGGGGCTGCGGAACTGGAAGCTAATAAGTTCCCCAAGTGGGCCCAGAATGAAGAGGGTAACGTCAGATGGATCTGGGCTCTAAGGCACGGCTAGATGTACAGGGTGTGCCCCAAAATGTACCCTTTACAGCCGATCACTCAACTGATGACTCTCTTCAGATTTAACCCATTGGAATTAATAATTATTCAAAGTGTGTATACATTTTGGGGGG